TTTAGAGCATCCATCTTCCCTGTAGCTTGAAGATTAAACAGCATTAAAAGTCTGTGGTTAAGCACCAGGAAAGAGATCAAAGTCAGACTTGAGAGCATCCATCTGCCCTGTGCTAACATACAGACTATGGACTATCTCGCAGACCTTGCGGAAGAAAACAGGGTCTTTAGAGCTGAAATGCTACAGAAAGATTCTCAGAATACTATGGAAAAAGATAAAAAGAAATACTGACAACCTAAAAGATCTGAACATCAAGCAGGATTGGCTGGTAAACAGTATCTTGTCTCGGAAAACGAAATAATCTAATGATATCAAGTGCCACAGCGGTTAAGAAAACATTAACAGCAGAAGACGTGCAGGCAGGACCGGCAGGGGCCGACCAGTACAAATATGGGCTTATGATGTAAAAAATTATGCCTTGGTAGGAATATGCATGAAGTGGGAGAGCTGGTGGGGAACCGAGTTTCCATCAGGCAGACCGTGATGAGAGCAAAATGCTACATGATGATGGAAACCTTCTGCGCCCTGTATTCTGTGATGTTTATGACAAGTTCTGTATTGTCACCATCCTGTTCAATCATTCTCTGGTTTGTTTCCTGGCAATGTCTGCTTGTGGTCTACAGTTAGTTGCTTATCCTTTACAGGGTGTCACAAACCACTCCAGCATTTGTTGGTTGTTTATGCTTTTACTGGGCAATTTTACATTCAGTACTTTGCCACTGCATTGTGAGCTGTCCATCCTCATACTACTGGTGAAATCAATGCAGGGCCTCCAGTCTTTAACCTTCAATCACATCAGATCTACACTTTAATCTCTGATCACTATCTTATCAGGTGTATACTTTAACGTTCAATCATCAGTCTTATCTTATCAGGTCTACACTTTAACCTTCAATCATAGGTCTATCTTTTCAGACTTCAGTCTAAACCTTAACGACCAATTATCAAACAGTGCTTTGAAACATCCATCACCAATAACCACAAATTCTATGAAGCCCACCCTTTAGGGTCCAAACTTTAACCAGCATCATCATGTGCCCTGCCAGGCCATGTGAGTGCCCATGTCTCAGTCCTTGGTATCAATTCCACTGCTGATATTCCTCCAAGCCATCGCTTCAGGCTGCCAGACTCTCATCCCTCTGGGTCAACCTCTTCTACCGTTGATCTTTCCAGTCACCGTGACGTTCCCCAGTGCCTCCCCTCTCATTGAATAGCTGCCTCCTTCTTATAGCTGTAAACAGTTTTCAAATTTCATTAGTCATTTCCAGGCAGAGGTTGTTAGTTACTCTGGCTGCCTATGGTACACGCAGCATCTTAGAAACCCCGTGATGTTCATGTTCTGCTTAATTTGTTCATTCACAACCATATAGCATCATTGGTTCAACATAACATTTCAGTAATCTTTTTCTTACGTTTAATGAGAGACCTGTTCCAAAAAATATTTGCTATCATTTGAAGTGTCACATGCACCTGTTTTTTATCCTGATCTTAATCTCTACTGCACATATTCCATCAGATGTTATAACTGTCCCCAAATACATCAGCACATATTCCACCAGATGTTATAACTGTCCCCAAATACCTCAGCACATATTCCATCAGATGTTCCGAAATACCTCAGCACATATTCCATCAGATGTTATAACTGTCCCCAAATACCTCAGCACATATTCCATCAGATGTTATAACTATCCCCAAATACCTCAGCACATATTCCACCAGATGTTATGACTGTCCCCAAATACCTCAGCATATATTCCATCAGATGTTATAACTGTCCCCAAATACCTCAGCACATATTCCATCAGATGTTATAACTGTCCCCAAATACCTCAGCACATATTCCATCAGATGTTATAACTGTCCCCAAATACCTCAGCACATATTCCACCAGATGTTATAACTGTCCCCAAATACCTCAGCATATATTCCATCAGATGTTATAACTGTCCCCAAATACCTCAGCACATATTCCATCAGATGTTATAACTGTCCCCAAATACCTCAGCACATATTCCATCAGATGTTATAACTGTCCCCAAATACCTCAGCATATATTCCACCAGATGTTATAACTGTCCCCAAATACCTCAGCACATATTCCACCAGATGTTATAACTGTCCCCAAATACCTCAGCACATATTCCACCAGATGTGATAACTGTCCCCAAATATCTCAGCACATATTCCATCAGATGTTATAACTGTCCCCAAATATCTCACCATATATTGCACCAGATGTTATAACTGCCCCCAAATACCTCAGCACATATTCCATCAGATGTTATAACTGTCCCCAAATACCTCAGCACATATTCCATCAGATGTGATAACTGTCCCCAAACATCTCAGCACATATTCCATCAGATGTTATAACTGTCCCCAAATACCTCAGCACATATTCCATCAGATGTTATAACTGCCCCCAAATACCTCAGCACATATTCCATCAGATGTTATAACTGTCCCCAAATACCTCAGCACATATTCCATCAGATGTGATAACTGTCCCCAAACATCTCAGCACATATTCCATCAGATGTTATAACTGTCCCCAAATACCTCAGCACATATTCCATCAGATGTTATAACTGTCCCCAAATACCTCAGCAAAAATTCCATCAGATGTTATAACTGTCCCCAAATACCTCAGCACATATTCCATCAGATGTTATAACTGTCCCCAAATACCTCAGCACATATTCCACCAGATGTGATAACTGTCCCCAAATATCTCAGCACATATTCCATCAGATGTTATAACTGTCCCCAAATATCTCACCATATATTGCACCAGATGTTATAACTGCCCCCAAATACCTCAGCACATATTCCATCAGATGTTATAACTGTCCCCAAATACCTCAGCACATATTCCATCAGATGTGATAACTGTCCCCAAACATCTCAGCACATATTCCATCAGATGTTATAACTGTCCCCAAATACCTCAGCACATATTCCATCAGATGTTATAACTGCCCCCAAATACCTCAGCACATATTCCATCAGATGTTATAACTGTCCCCAAATACCTCAGCACATATTCCATCAGATGTGATAACTGTCCCCAAACATCTCAGCACATATTCCATCAGATGTTATAACTGTCCCCAAATACCTCAGCACATATTCCATCAGATGTTATAACTGTCCCCAAATACCTCAGCAAAAATTCCATCAGATGTTATAACTGTCCCCAAATACCTCAGCACATATTCCATCAGATGTTATAACTGTCCCCAAATACCTCAGCACATATTCCACCAGATGTTATAACTGTCCCTAAATACCTCAGCACATATTCCACCAGATGTTATAACTGTCCCCAAATATCTCAGCACATATTCCACCAGATGTTATAACTGTCCCCAAATATCTCAGCACATATTCCACCAGATGTTATAACTGTCCCCAAACATCTCAGCACATATTCCATCAGATGTGATAACTGTCCCCAAACATCTCAGCACATATTCCACCAGATGTGATAACTGTCCCCAAACATCTCAGCACATATTCCACCAGATGTGATAACTGTCCCCAAAAATCTCAGCACATATTCCATCAGATGTGATAACTGTCCCCAAATATCTCAGCACATATTCCATCAGATGTGATAACTGTCCCCAAATATCTCAGCTTGTTGACCTGCTTAAGCATTTTGGCCTCTACTGTAATTGTTACATGTTGGTGTTTGTTTCCTTTGTTATAATAATTGTTTCTGTTTTCTTGACATTTAAGGAGAGTCATTTTCTGATTTTCTCCATCACTACTATGCTTAAAAGTTGCAAACATCTTGTGTTTTCAGCTGTCAATACTTTCTTCTTCTTCTGCCTTTCTATCCCCCAATGGAGCATAGGCCCTCAATCAACTCACGCCAAGTCGTTCTATCCTTCGCCATTACATGGAGCTCTCTCCTCATGTCATCCCCATCTTTCTAACTTCATTCTCCAGCTCTCTTCTCCATGTGTTTTTGGCCTTCCTTTATTCCTATGCCCCTGTGGGTTCCATTCTGGATATGCTGGTCTCCTGTTTTCTCAGTGTGTGTCAAAGATGGTTTTCATTAAAACTGCTAACTCATATTCCTTGTCTAATATATATATATATATTTTATTGTTAAAATAAACAAAGCACCAATAGCTAATCTGTCTGGGTCTATGATCAGTGACTAATAACTAAACAATGTATACATATATTTTAACCCTCAGTAGTCAGTCATAGCCATTGTATAGTTGAACCACCCAGTCAAGTGTTTCAGGCACTCCACAACTGCAAGAATGTTGACCGTGCACAACAAATTATTTTCTGTTCACACTGTTAAACACCCGATTAAAGCATCATCAATCATCCATATGATACAATCAAGTTTATTCTGCCTAAAAAAACAAAAAAGAATCAGAACACTACAAAAAACCAGGGAACATGAAAAGCACACACGTTTAATGATGAAATGTAATGATGAACAATCACTCCAAACCAAAATAAAACAGATATAATAACGCAATATCACAGTTTCATTGATATCTGAACAAAAAAAGCACACTTAAAAAAAAAGATAACAGCCTTTGCTTGCTCTTATTCACCACACACACACAACATAAGGTGAACAGACAGTGACATGAAAACAAGACTATATACATTTATCTGGATAAAGAACATACCAGTTCTGCACTTAACATTTTTCAACCAAAAGATCAAAATTCAAAGGAAAACAACAATAGTAAAATTTAATGGGGGGAGAAAATGTAATCTGGGTTGCTATTGCAATCATTATCAACAATAACAAGTTTGTTCTAAGATCCATCAAAAAAAATTTAGAGAAACAATACAAGTACCCAGCATGTGGTGCAAACAGTCAAAGGAGAATGTTTTGTGATGAAAAGAACTATTCCGTATTCTCAATGAATACACCTGAACAATAATTTACTGATGGCAGAGGAGATGGTAAAAGACTTATTAGGAAGAATGGAAACTCCTCAGAGACAATACAGAGTAGTCTAGTGCGGGGGAGGGTCTGTGTCTGAGGCTCCTCTCTGAGGCGGCATGTGTTTGAGCATGCTCCGTTTTGCCGAGGCTGGATTCAGCCCTCTCTCCCGACCCCCATGAGGGGCAGACGACGCCCGTCCTTGCAGGACACCCATCCCTCCCAGCGGGCCTAAATTTGGGCCATGAATCGCCACTGTGTTTGAGACAGTGATAGGACTACAAATCTGACGTGGACTACCTCCTGTGGTAGTACCCCCTGCCCGACCCCACGAATTCTCCCTGTGGGCCCCAGCCGACAAAGGCCGGGCCCCTTGACTTCCTGGGGCCTTTTCCACTGCCCTGTCTAACGTGCAACTATTTTGGTGCTTGTTGTGTGATTCATTTGTATTTTTCTGATGCTCCTTCTGAATAAGTGGAGACCTCTGCTCCCCATCTGATTCCGGAGACCGAAGAGCTTCCAATATGGAGCTTGGGTCATCCCCGGAGCCTTCAGTTATCAAGCTGAGCTGCTCTGTCAACGTAGCCAGTAGCAGTTCCTGCATAAATACATTGCGCTGAGCAATGTCATTCTCGCCAGAATTCACACCCAGGTCCAAGCTTGTATTTTCAGCACACAATCTGAAACAGACATCGATACACAAACCGTAAGTTGTTAGTCAAGGTTCAAACTTGCCTGGAGAGGGGTTGCCCTGTAACTGCTCTGCCCTGTGCCAGCAGAAATTGCTGTCCCAAAGGGATGCATACAATCACCTGAGTGTGTATCACCAAATGTGTAGGTGATCAAGATTCACGTTTTGTATCTCCAACACCGTGTATCATTTTTTTTTGCCTGGACACAAATGATGAAAGCAGCTAATTTCTTACTCCCCGTTCTACAGTGTGTTCCATGTTTCCATTCATTGGAAAAACACCACTGTTTTTAAAAACACATTTCGATGTGGTGTGTCCTCCCCTGCTGAGAACATACATAAACACCGGTGGAGTTATCCTTGTAATAGCATTAGTGATGTGTTTATTTTTCCTATGTATGAACAACTGACCATCCTATCATGCTGCTACACATCACACAGAACTCACAATCTAGTTAGTTCTCCATTCTGTTCTTTAACCATCAATAGCTAATGTGTCTATAAGGTTTATGCTTTAATAATCAATATTTTTACACGTATTTGTATATTTTCTATATCATGGATGCAGTCCAGACCAGCACCCTTGGTTGCTCTGAATGTATGTTTCATTTGTTTTCCATTCCAGTGCCTGTTTAGTAATTCTCCGCCCACTTCTTTACTTTATGTTATAAAGTATTTGCTGAGTCTTCTTCTTCTTCGTGTTCACCATCTGTAAACTCTGGCAAAAAGTTCTGGTTGTTCCTCCACTTCTGGACTGCAGTCCTGTTCCAGAACTTGAGTGTTGCATGTGCATCCCTTTTACAGATCTGACTCATTTGTATACAGACTGCTGGTTCCTTGCCTCTCAGGCAGATCCACTCCGACTTCGAAGGAAACTCCCAATTATTCAACTCTAACGACATGCTTTTGGTTTGGCAGTGGATCTATTCTTGTTTTCCCTATAGTAGGGCCCCAGAACCTACACTAGGAGCTGAAAATAATACAATTATATTTCCTGTTTAAATAAGAAGGCATGAAAGCAAAGTGGATTTTTCATTTAACTATCAACAGATTGACCTGGGTTTAACATCCAGTTTGGAGGAATTGACTACAGCCTTGGAAATGTGGTTGTATTAATTAAATGGATAAAAAGGAAATCAATTTTGAAAAGCAGGACTATCAAGTTAAACATGACTGAATGAGGATGGAGTCAAAGTTGGACAAAACATGAAGCACCTTGAAGGACATAGCAAAAGAGAAATGTACAATAGGATGACAAGGTTTTAGGAGAATAGGCATGACTAGCAGATGGACTTGAAAAGCCTGCCTGAGTGCGCCATGGAGACTGATCAGATGGTAATGAAGACTCTAGACCAAACTTTACTAAGCAGCTGGCATGCCACAATGATCTACTCTTACTACAAGGGAAAGTCAATAAGTAAGTCACAAATGTTTGTTTTACAAAAAATGATAACTTGGAAATTGTTTATTTTTACGCACATACTGTCTCTATTTTAACAGAATTTTTGCCAATACTGAGGCACCTGTCCCATTGTTTTATCAGTCCTCTCAAACCTGCTGCATAGAAGTGCAAACTGTTTTCTAAACCCCATTTTCACTTCAGTCAACTTCTGCGTCATTCGCAAAGTAATGTCCCCAGCCAAGGTGGGTTTTCAGCGGACCAAAAAAAAAGGTGAAAATTACTAGGTGGCTGAGTCCAGGCTGTAAGTTGGATGATCCAGAAGTTCTCACCCTGGATGGTTAATTTTCTCCTGAGGTAACCATGACGTATTGTCTTGAAGGAGCAGTACTCCTCTAGTCAGCAGGGCTGTACGTTTTCTTCAAATTGCATCGTGAAGCATCGACAGAACTTTACAGTATGAAGCACCATTCACATTTTTTGAATTGTTAAAAGTACTCCTTGACAATCTCAGAACACTGTAAGCATAACCTTCACTGCTGAGGCATAACCTTGAATTTTTTAACACATGGCGAAGAAGGATGTTTTTATTGCACTGAAACAGGCTTTGATTCAGGCTGGTAGTGATGCACCCATGATTCGTCCCCAGTAATAATCCTGTTCAGCATGTCTTCTCCTTTATCTGCATTTAACAGAGATGCTGCAAGGGCAGGTTTAATCGGTTTATTTTGTGTTTGTCCGTCAATTGTCTGGGTACCCATCTTGAGCACACTTTCTTAAATTTCAATCGATCATGCATTATGTTGTATGCTAAACCACGCGAGCACCCTATTGAAGCTGCTACAGAGTCAACCGCTACTCGCCTATCGCCTCTAATCATCTCCTCTACTCGCTGCACAAAAGCAACTCCTGCAACCTCAATAGGACGACCAGATCGGACAACTGCAGAAGCTGAGAAAATTTTTTCGCTCAGCTATGCACTGCTTTACGGGATAAACATTTCTAAGCATAAACAGGAAGCAGTAGGCATTTCCTTATGAATGTCCTTTGCAGGCAGCCCTTTTGCCCTCAAAAATATACACACAACAGCATGTTGTTCTTTGAGTAAAGTTGTCACTTTGTTTCTGTGTTGCGAATGCGCATGCAACACCTAATGAAAGAAGACATAAAGTTTGATGTTGCTGCCACCTAATGACACATTTATAAACCACCAACTACATTTTCCTGCTATCTTATAACTCTTTGTGACTTACTTATTGCCCTTCCCTGCTACTATGGTTTACTATGTATTGTAGTTAACAGCCAAGCTGTGATATCTATGTCTTTTGGTCAAACACTCCAATTTCAGCAATACCCAAAACAGTTGCCGACTACAGCATGCATGTTATTGCAAGCTCCCCCACTAAAACCCTAGAAACCTTATGGAGAATTCTTAAGATAGATTCATTAAAGACATTTGCGGTATAAAGTAAAGGATTCTTTTCTAAGGTGTACTGGATGTGTGTTTATTTGATGGATCAACATCATGGCACACGGGTGTAACCCATAAGTACTCCGCTCTACTTCTAACTCGAGCCTGAAGATTCTCAGCATAGTGCACGAACTGTTGCACCGGCACGGATGCTGAAATACTCTGAGTTGATTCTTTACTCCACATTCTGCCCGGGCAGTGCCGTTAGGCTACTCTTTTCAATTTCTAACTGCCAAGGGATTTTTTACGTGCGCAAGAATACATACAGGCGTATAATCTTACTACTCAGAGACTAGGGAAAATTACTAGAAGTCCACACGAAAAAATTCCAGCCTTAACCAGGACATGAACCCGGGACCTCCAGCACTCGAGGAGAACACCATACTTTGTGACCACTCAGCCCCCAGGGTGTATTGGATATTTAGTATCTAGTATCATATTTTTAGACCAATCATCTAAACATCACCTTATCAGGATCATGCAGGCAGCTTTAACTTCCTACTTTTACTTGGTGCCCATTTTAGACAACAGTCAACCAGAGAGTCATGGTCCTTTTTTTTTTTTAAACAATATCCAACTCAACAGGAAACTAAATTTACAACCATCGGGTTAACAGGCAAGTGTACTGCCTTGCCATAACTAAAATGGCTTGCCTATTTAGAAAGAATGCCCTGTGACATCAAACCACAGAAGGCATATACCAAAAGAGGAAAGGGACGCAGAGCACAAAGTAGATCAAGAGCAAGATAGACAGATATCGGAGAAACTCTACCACAATGTGATGTGTCTATTGTCGAGGTGGCTATAAAAGCAAGAAGTAGAAACTTTTATCTTCCCTAAGACCTGGAGTGGCAAAAGAGAAAGTGAAGAAAAAATAGATTTAAAGTGTATCGCAAGACCACAGAGATAATTGTACCTCTCCATATTCCTTATTTACCAGAAAATTACACAAGAAATAAACATACTTTGTGAGAAGAAACTGTGAATCTGACTTGGTCGCTACTGTCGTGATATTATTAGCTGGCTCTGGTTGCAAAGGAATAGAATTGGCTGCAGATGGTGGTTTTGGCTGTTCCGCCTGTCTTCTTGGTAAGCGTTCTAACTGTTGCCTGTTTAAACAAACAAATTTTCAGTGAAGACAGGAATAAGCTTGACAGACATCAATATTCATAGACTGGCATCACAAGTAGGAATGAGAAGCCCTGGTTGAAATGGTTAAGAACATCTGGCTCTTATAAGGGAGATCGAAATTTAAATTCTCAGTAAGGTTCTGGATTTGTTCTGCCAAGAGCAAAAATCAAATCATAACCTGCGCAGTCTGTGGTGGCTGCACTAGCAATGCCGCCCTCAATCCCCAGGCCCAGAGGTCCCTTCTTCCTTTCACCTCAAAAGTTGTAAATACAGGCAGTAACTGCACATGGGGGGGGGAGGGGGGGGGGAGAATCTCATCATAATCTGTTTCGGGACAAAGTGGCAAATAGATTATCATGCCCACCTCTAACTCGTGCAGAAATGGTTCAATTCATGGTCTGGACTGTTGAGACTTGTGCAAACTGAAAATGCTAAAATGTGTTTGTTTCTCATCTGATCTCATCTCTCAACTTCCAACAATTTTGTTGAGCATTTCATTTCAATGGTGTGACTTTTTATTATTTCATATACTGTTAGCAACACATCTTTCTAACTCTTAGTCCATATGTTTGGGTGTTAGGTGACAGCTGATACATTACTACTGAATAAATGTTTCATTCACAAACTCAACTTTTGTCTACTTGTATGTTATGTGATAGCTGAATTATGATTTCACTTGCAATCTGAACTTGTATGTGATAGCTGATTCATTATTTCATTTGCAATCTGAACTTGTATGTATGTGATAGATTATTCATCATTTCACTTGCAATCTGAACTTGTATGTTATGTGATAGCTGATACATTATTTCACTTGCAATCTGAACTTGTATGTTATGTAATAGCCGATACATTATTTCATTTGCAATCTGAACTTGTATGTTATGTGATAGCTTATACATTATTTCACTTGCAATCTGAATTTGTATGTTATGTGATAGCGTATTTCACTTGCAATCTGAACTTGTATGTTATGTGATAGCTGATACATTTTTTCATTCGCAATCTGAGCTTGTATGTTATGCAACAGCTTATACATCATTTCATTTGCAATCTAAACTTGTGTCTTAAGTGTATGTCTATGTTACCACATCAGTGTTATGAACCCAACATATCTGTACCCCTGGCTTCAGTCATGACTTCCTTCTTATTACTGTTTACAATCTACCAAATACCACTATGTGTTAACGATTACCAATTCTGTTCAACACGGAACTCACCTATCAGGCAGCTTATTCATCATGGAACTCACCTATCAGGCAGCTTGTTTATCATGGAACTCACCTATCAGGCAGCTTGTTCATCACGGAACTCACCTATCAGGCAGCTTGTTCAACACGGAACTCACCTATCAGGCAGCTTGTTCATCATGGAACTCACCTATCAGGCAGCTTGTTCAACATGGAACTCACCTATCAGGCAGCTTGTTCAACATGGAACTCACCTATCAGGCAGCTTGTTCATCATGGAACTCACCTATCAGGCAGCTTGTTCATCACGGAACTCACCTATCAGGCAGCTTGTTCATCACGGAACTCACCTATCAGGCAGCTTGTTCATCATGGAACTCACCTATCAGGCAGCTTGTTCATCACAGAACTCACCTATCAGGCAGCTTGTTCATCACGGAACTCACCTATCAGGCAGCTTGTTCATCACGGAACTCACCTATCAGGCAGCTTGTTCATCACGGAACTCACCTATCAGGCAGCTTGTTCAACACGGAACTCACCTATCAGGCAGCTTGTTCAACACGGAACTCACCTATCAGGCAGCTTGTTCATCACGGAACTCACCTATCAGGCAGCTTGTTCAACACGGAACTCACCTATCAGGCAGCTTGTTCATCACGGAACTCACCTATCAGGCAGCTTGTTCATCATGGAACTCACCTATCAGGCAGCTTGTTCATCATGGAACTCACCTATCAGGCAGCTTGTTCATCATGGAACTCACCTATCAGGCAGCTTGTTCATCACGGAACTCACCTATCAGGCAGCTTGTTCATCACGGAACTCACCTATCAGGCAGCTTGTTCATCACGGAACTCACCTATCAGGCAGCTTATTCATCACGGAACTCACCTATCAGGCAGCTTGTTCATCACCATGGTAACATGACCAACCATACTTGACTCGTCTTTGTGTCCACGGCTATAAATTCCATCAGGAAAGTTCTGGTTGTTTGTCCACTTCTGGACTTTGGTCTTGCTCCAGAACTTCAGTTGTGCATGCACTTTGAAGAATAGACCCCTAATTAGCCTGTTAGGGGGCAGTGAATCTATTCCTCCCCCACCTCCCAAAACGGGGCCCCAGGAACCCACAAGGGGATGACCTTCTATTTGAACCCTAAGATGAAGTACTAACCTCGTTGACTGCAGCTGCATCTCCAGCTGCTGTAATTGGGAAGAAACACTCTGTGCTGCAGCGGCGCGGTTGCGCACACTCGACAGCTGTGACAACAACTCTACAAAAATGAACATTCATAATTTACATCTGAACTCAAAATACAAGGAAGTGTATGTTACAAATCATGTCTCTAATGTACACACAGCTGTCATTTGATCTATAACATTAGGATACACAGCAGCAGTATCACACTCCACAATTTGCCCTTCCAAATCTAGTGATTAACCAATAGAATGTTTCAGTTCAAGCTGTACATGATAAGAAGCTGTCAAGAATCTTCTCTTGTTGTCTTTATTTCTACATAAATTTTTCCAGTTTTTGTTTCTTTTCATAAAGTGGCTTTAAAAAACCTGGCCACTTCTTTCTGATGTTTGGGCTGTTTTTGTCTATTTAAAAACAAATTAAATGATTCTATTCATGCAAGCTGCTCGTCAAGGACACGATTCTAGACATCGTTACAAACCAACTAGCACTCAATGGTTGGTGATATCAAACCAGCCACAAATATCTTTATATATAACCCTTTTATTAACTTTTAAATTCTGTATTTTAACCATTCAGCATTCCTCTGTACAACCAGACGGTCTAAACCAACTGTGTAGCTTGTTTAATGACTGGTAGGATCTGCCAAGATATGGACACAAGGGTCAATACTAGAATCTAAACTATAAAAAGTTCTGTAGACAAGAAGAAACTAATACCAGAATGTTAACTCTACAAAGATCTGAATAGAAGCAGAGACACTAGAAACTAAACTCTAAAAAAATCGGGATACAAGGAGACTAGAAACTAAACTCTACAAAGATCTGGACACAAGGAGAGACACCAGAAACTAAACTACAAAAATCTGGACACAAGGAGAGACTAGAAACTAAACTACAAAGATCTGGACACAAGGAGAGACACTAGAAACTAAACTCTACAAAGATCTGGACATAAGGAGAGACACTAGAAACTAAACTCTACAAAGATCTGGACATAAGGAGAGACACTAGAAACTAAACTCTACAAAGATCTGGACATAAGGAGAGACACTAGAAACTAAACTCTACAAAGATCTGGACATAAGGAGAGACACTAGAAACTAAACTACAAAATTCTGGACACAAGGAGAGAAACTAGAAACTAAACTACAAAGATCTGGACACAAGGAGAGACACTAGAAACTAAACTCTACAAAGATCTGGAAAGAGGCACACTAAAAGTTAACCTCAGTGGGTAGGAAGCAGAATCTACAAAGGAACAACGCTGAAAACTAAACTCTACAGACATTGTGGCACAAAGAGCCACACCAGAAACTAAACTCTGGGGTAAGCAGAAATCTCCAAGGACAGCAGGTTTTATGAACAGACTAAATGCTGAAGTCTGAGAAAGAAACCTGGGAGCTGGGGGGAAAAAGAACACTGAGTATAATTAACATTTTCAATATCAGGCATCTCTCCCTTCAACTTCCTTGATTGCAAAGTAAGTGTACATTGAAACAACAACCTTCAAGTCTTAAGGAGTTAAAATATTACAACCAAGAGGCAGCAAGAGTTAAAGTGACAAGTCAGATAAAATATAATTCTTCTTCTTCGTGTTCACTGGCTGTAAACTCTGGCAGAAAGTTCTGGTTGTTCGTCCACTTCTGAACATAAGTCTTGTTCCAGAACTTCAGTGTTGTATGCACATCTGTTTTACAGATCTGACTTACTTGTATGCAGATTGTTGGTTCCTTGCCTCTCGTGCAGATGCACTCCCACTTGTGATAAGTACTGGGTCCCGGTTTAGACACCTTGTGGTGAGTACTGGGGCCCTGTTTAGACACTCTGTGGTGAGTACTGGGTTCCTGTTTAGACACCTTGTAGTGAGCACTGAGTCCCTGTTTAGACACCTTGTGGTGAGTACTGGGGCCCTGTTTAGACACTTTGTGGTGAGCATTAGCACTTTCTCTAGAAAAAAAAGTCCTGATTGTAATCAATAAACAGATATTGAGTTTCCAGGTTCTCAAACAATTAAGCTCCCCGTGTAGGGTATGGAGCTCCATTATGTAAGAAAAAAAAGATCACTGACCTCTTAACAAGCATGTCATAAAAACCATTTAATGAGGAATATAAATTTTATTTGTTGTGCCAAAATGCGCAGATACTCTAGCCTAGCTGTAAACCACAACACAACATGCCAACCATCTTTTTAAGGGCGAAAGCAGAGGAGGAGGAAGAAAAAAGAGTTAACCACATCTGATAAACATTGCAGAGGTAAGTGTGGTCTACAAACCTGCAATGGGATCCATATTCTCACGGCTACTGGGTGAAAGACCTGTCAGTGTTGAACCACCTGTCCCAAAATGTTGCATATTGGCACGGCGTGTTCTTGTGCCCCCAACACCTCGGGCAGGGTGCGGGATGCGCCGCACGTGGCGAAGTCCAGGATGTTCATCGTAAGTACAGTTAAGGTCAGAGAATTTATACCAAAAAAAAACTACATGCTGTAATCTAAAGAAGTTCTTGCAAGTGAGCAGATGGAAGACAACATTACAAGCTGGACGATAAGGAATTAGACAAATGTAAATATTATTTAAAAATTTTTAAAAGGTAGAGAACTCTTCTCCTTCAGACATACTGGGCATACGGATAGACCGATATTTTATAGATCAATGGGTTATGAGGTCAACATCATGTCAACTGCCTTTACTTCCCGGGACTTTACCTTCTACCCACTGTAGGCTGGGTTAACGTGAAACATTATTTTGAAATGGTTCTTAATCTATGTTGAATGACCCCCCCCCCCCCCCCCCCCCCCCCCCCCCCACTCACCACCTTCCCTTAGCATCATGACTAGTAGACACTGTGTGATTACCTGCTCTACATCACAAGGTTAGAAAACAAACAAAAGAAGATGCAGCAAAGAGACATTAATTGAATTAATTTGCACTATATTTTTCTTTGATTATTAACAGGGAAGGATATGAAATCTCTGGGTGTCCTGTGTTCAACTGTTAAATGAGCTGCAAAGTCATCAGTCACATGGTTGGGATCTCCACCGGGTAAGGATGCACAGATTGGACAAACCTGAACAGAAAATGAGCAGTGGATAAATATTATTCATGTGTTAGTAACAACAAAACTGGCAAGTATACTGGTTTACAACAACAACAAAACTGGCAAGTATACTGGTTGACAACAACAAAACTGACAAGTATACTGGTTGACAACAACAACAAAACTGGCAAGTATACTGGTTGACAACAACAAAACTGACAAGTATACTGGTTGACAACAACAAAACTGGCAAGTATACTGGTTGACAACAACAAAACTGGCAAGTATACTGGTTGACAACAACAACAAAACTGGCAAGTTTACTGGTTGACAACAACAAAACTCACAAGTATACTGGTTGACAACAACAAAACTGACAAGTATACTGGTTGACAACAACAAAACTGGCAAGTATACTGGTTGACAACAACAACAAAACTGGCAAGTATACTGGTTGACAACAACAACAAAACTGACAAGTATACTGGTTAACAACAACAACAAAAACTGGCAAGTTTACTGGTTGACAACAACAACAAAACTGGCAAGTATACTGGTTGACAACAACAACAAAACTGGCAAGTATACTGGTTGACAACAACAACAAAACTGACAAGTATACTGGTTGACAACAACAAAACTGACAAGTATACTGGTTGACAACAACAACAAAACTGACAAGTATACTGGTTGACAACAACAACAAAACTGGCAAGTATACTGGTTGACAACAACAAAACTGACAAGTATACTGGTTGACAACAACAACAAAACTGACAAGTATACTGGTTGACAACAACAAAACTGGCAAGTATACTGGTTGACAACATCAACAAAACTGACAAGTATACTGGTTGACAACAACAACAAAACTGACAAGTATACTGGTTGACAACAACAACAAAACTGACAAGTATACTGGTTGACAACAACAAAACTGGCAAGTATACTGGTTGACAACAACAACAAAACTGACAAGTATACTGGTTGACAACAACAACAAAACTGGCAAGTATACTGGTTGACAACAACAACAAAACTGGCAAGTTTACTGGTTGACAATAACAACAAAACTGGCAAGTATACTGGTTGACAACAACAACAAAACTGACAAGTTTAGTGGTTGACAATAACAACAAAACTGGCAAGTATACTGGTTGACAACAAAACTGGCAAGTATACTGGTTGACCCACAAGCATAGAACGACTGACGACGCCTGCTCTGTGTTGACTAATCCAACACCTCGACATCTTGGTGAAAAATTAATTTCTTGCAGCTCCAGGTTGCATCCTCATGTCCATCAGTCTAGACAGGGATACAGTCATGCCCTTTGATGTATTTGTATTCATGGGAAATGCTTCACTGATGACATCACTTCTGTCTAGTAGAGGACCAGCCACAGTAACCGCAGTATCTGCAGGATAATCTTCATGTTTGCTGCCTCAAAAACCAGCATGGCCCAGCACAAATATGAATGTTAAGCCAGCTATTTGTGAAGTCTGAACTGTCAACCATCCTAATAAACAAGCAGCACAATTAGAATCCCAGACATGATCCCACTTGGGGGAGTTCAGTGAAAGACTATAAAGGAATACAAAATATAGGAATATGATACAAAACACAAATTCATTTTCACTAATCAACTGAGCCAAGTAAAGTTTTGCATTTTGGCTGTTCAACTAAATATAACAATCGTACTGCGGTTCAAGAATTCAACTGTTCAAAGGCTGCGTATCAGCATGTGTGACATGTACGATAAGACTCTCACCACTTCAGCAGAGGTGTCCGAATGATCTGCTGTAACATGCTCATGAAGACTGGACTCGGAGTAGCCCATTTTGGAACAATGGGGGCAGGTGTACGACTGAGGCTGTTCGGTTGTCAAAGCTTCACCACCATAGAATACATCTGTAATTATATCATTACATTTGTGAAACATTACAACACATATTCTTCCTGGATTTGTTTTTACGAAACTGATAATAGATAGCTGGTACTTTCAATGAGGAACTCTTGAGGCCAGTTCTTTGTCTCCTGTGTTTGCATTAAAAAGATGATAGGCACAGTGTGTTGTATTTTATATCTAAGCTGTGATAGCTGTGTCTTTCAGCCAATTTCAGCAAACATCTAATTAGTTACCTTTTATGGCATGCTTGCTAAGGTGCAGCAGATTTAACCCCCCCCCCCCCAAAACAAAATAACAGGGCACTAGAACCACAAGAGACCAAAGAAAGTAACCTGAGTAACCTTTATGAGATCTATACTTGAGTTAAAAGTGTGCGATTCATTCAAGAACCGACATCACAGCACTCGGGGCATTCCCATAAGCACTCTATCCCCATCTTCAGCAGCCAGTTCCGATACTAATGGTGCAGTAGCATTCTGAATAAACGTCTGTCTTGCCTTTCCTCTGAGCCTCGAGCATCTGCCAGAACCTCTCGTCACTCCCCGCTGCATCAATCTCACCAGACTGTGGTATGTGTGAGATAAATAGGTATGTAATGTATGTGGTATCTATACCAAAGTAATCTATATGAGATGTATACCTAAGTAATTTTTCCAACAGTAGCAGCAGACAACACTGTTCTATACATACCAAAATCAGCTCTGGTGAGAATACACTGCATGGGGTGGTCTGTGGTATGTCTTGTTGTGGTTGCCCCAGCATCATAGCAAGTGGAGCACAGGTCGTAGTCGTAGCAGACCAGACACTTGTACCTCTTGCCACGAAAGTTGCCTTTCATACATGAATCACAGCTCACACCTGTAGAAATGGAAACCGATAATATGTCACTGACTGCTGACATTTTGATAGCTGAAAATGCAACTGATTAACAACAACTGCTGGATACTGTCGGGATGAAGAGTACTAAGAAAGGACTTTCCTTGAATATTAAGAAAACGGAAGTAATGGTTATATCAAAGAAGAAGATAACACCACATTGTAATAACTAAATTTAAGGAAAAAGGCTTAACCAAGTCAATAAATTCAAATATCTGGGAACAGTCATATCATCAGATGGGAAATGTGTGAAAGAGATTAAAAGCAGAATAGGTCAAGTGAGGGCAGCATTTCAGAAAATAAAAAAATATCTTATGCAATAAGTCGCTCTTATTTAATGTCAGAAATGGAGTGCTAAAATGTTACATAGAACCTGTTCTGCTGTGTAGCCGCAAATCTTGGAGTGTCAGTGAATAAATTAAGAGGAATTTGGAAGCCAACAGAGATGTGGTTTCTGAGACGAATGTTATGAATACCTTGGACAGCCAGAGTAACTAACAATGATTGTTTGAAAGAAGCTAATGAAAGTAGATCTCTATATACAACAATAAGAAGTAGACAAACATTATTCTTTCGCCACGTTTTAAGAATAGAGGCATCGTGACAACTGGAAAGAGGGGTAGAGGCAGACCAAGAGAGATGAGTCTAGATAGGCTCAAACGATGGCATGGAGGGATATCATCAAGAGAGCTGTGTTCCAGGCAACCAAGGATTGTGATCTGTGGAGATGCATGAGTGCCTAAGCCAACTGGCCGGGCACATGATGATGATGATAAATGCTGACTGGAGCTGTATTACAGCTTTCTAGCCAAATCAACAAGTGCTCAGCTCCATCTGCAGTCATCAAAGTACGTTCTGGAAGGCCACACACTTGCAGTGCACACTTCGGTAAAAATCCACCGACAGTGTATTTTCTCTCAAGCCGGTTGAACAATTTACAGCAGCCCTACCCTTGTTGTTAGATGTGGTAGTAGAAAAGTTTGGACACTGGATAACTAAGACAGAGATCAGGGTTCGATATTTGGAAACTACAGGATTCCTTTCTTTTTCCTGGATTGGACGCAATCTAAAAATATAGATATTTATCATTCTTTTTGTAACCAGCCTCACAAAATACACCTATTTATCATTCTGCCTGTTATCTAGCGACACTTGGACGATGTCTCATTTCTCTAACCCCCATCTTCCATTAGGCAAAGGTTTGTCAGGAGTCTAAGCTTGCATTCTGAGGCTATCAACACATAATTTCTTTCTAGGGTGTATACATCATAGCCTTGACCTTAGAGGTTACCTTTCCATCATGTTCTTGACATTTGAGGTTAAGTAAATTGACCTCTTTCAATACCTCGAGGTATGCTAAGTGAATGGTGCTAGAAATCCACGTTTATAGACAAATCTGCCCTCAAAAGGTGATGAGCTCAATATCGAGATAGACTGATGTGATTTCCAAGAATATTTTCTGGTACATATTTTCTTCTTTTTCTTCTGCCCTTTATCTCCCAATGGAGCACAGGCTCTCAACAATCTCATACCAAGTCATCCTGTCCATTGCCATCGCATGCAGCTCACACCACGTCTTTTCAACTGTACCCCTGGGTTCCCTACTCTATGTGTTTTTGGTCTGCCTTTATTTCTATGCCCCAGTTTAAAGCCCTTCTAGTTATACTGTTCTAGTTTCCTCAATGTGTGTCCTATCCAATGCAAGCATCTTTTCCTCACCTCTTGATTCACTGTAACTTGTTTAGTTCTCTCCCAAAACTCTGCATTAGTGATTCTTATCATAGCACTTAATTCTTTCTAAACCATCCCTCTTTTCTGCGTAGAACCACATCACCCACTGAGTGCCCACTGATCTATAAAATATAGGTCTGGGATCAGAGAACAATTCAAACAAGTACAAATAAACTACCAACAATTAACTATCATAAGTACAAATAAACTACCAACAATTAACTATCATAAGTACAGATAAACTACCACCTACATTTATTAACTGATGCCTCCACATAAAAAAGAAGCAACAGAATGGTTTAACAGAATCACAAATATGGAGCATATAGAGAGAACTAACTTGATTCCAGTGAACTGATAAGTTAAAAAAATGTGGTTCTCTTTGCAATAACAGTCGCTACTTGGACGGCGACGGGCGCTTAGTCGGAGTTCAGTCCCCTGGCTGCAGTGCAGTTACGGAGTGGGCAAGGCAAGAATCACAAAACATAGATATACATGGTTACGTCATTATGGGTAATTACTCGACATTACATGTGTTACCCTAACCCTACCCCTAATTATGTCATTCGTTTCGTTCCCTCTTTTCCACTCCGTAATTGCACTGCAGCCAGGGGACTGAACTCTGGCGAAGCGGCTGTCGCTGCCGTCCAACTAGCGACCATTATTGCAAGGAGAGAAACAATTTTTTTAAATAGGACACATTTAGAAAATCTGTTATAACTGTAAAGCCCTTTCTATGCAACCTACGAGACAAAAGGGATGAAGATCTAATGGAGAAAATAAAGTCAGAGATTAATAACTATGCAGGAAGGATGGGGGGGGGGGGGGGGGGGGGTGGTGAAGAACTCACCAGCCTTTCAATGCTCTTCACAAAGTAGTTTGCTGTAGGTTACACTGTTACAGTGTAAAATAAGTGAATGTGTGTTACGAAGGACAGGGTAACTTGTCTGATCTCAAATGGATGTGCATGCCAGACTAATAATGTTCTAGAAAAGACCAAAGTCTGGGGCTGGATGAACAACCAGAACTTTATACTGGAGTTTACAGTTGGTGAATGCATGAGATGACACAGAAGTATTATATTCACTTGGTACTCACATTCAATTCCACTTAAATAATTGTAATCAGTTAACAGATACACATAGAAATGCCTGTCTACAGCCCTAATTTAGGCTTAGTGGATAATGTAGGAAAAATGTGTAGCGTAGCATTCTAATATATGATTACTGTGGGGGAAGGGTGTCTTTAATCTGACTTGACCACAGAAAAGTGATTAAATGAAAATGTAGGTACATAATTTTATAACTTACATTAAAGCTTTAATTATAATGAGATGTTAGATTTAATTATTAAGCATTCCTCCGAATAATGGCTCTAAGTGATCGAGCTCAAAATATTACCCATACAGGGCCTTAACTCTTTGAGTTCCAAGGAACGTGTCATACGTTCATAGATTCCTACCTAGAAGCCCAATGAACACATGATGTGCCGATTTTACGCCTTTCTTGACTACCCCTTGGGCCTGTGATACTAAACCCCAGAGGGACTCAAAGAGTTAATGATATGTAAAATTCAGATGGATTTATTTCCTGACCCTAACACCCAAACAAGTGAAGGGTTATAGATGCAACTCAAACGGAAGCAACTATTGAGTACTGTAAGAGTAGGTTTTTGAGCTAGATAATTTAATTTTGAGCCGTTATTGGGAGGAGTGCCAATTATTTTAATGTTTACAAATTGCATTGCAAGCAGGCAGGGAAAGACGTTCAAGTGTCTGTTTAGTAGACATTTCAACACTGTACTATTGTAGCTAAAATCCGTCGTTTGTAGTGTAAAATAAACTGTAGTTAAATATTACTTAAGACTTAAGTTAAGTGTCTACAAGTCCATTAGCTCTGCTTTAGTTAGATAATTAATGACATTAATGACATTATTCATTATTAATTACGACACACTCACAACGTTCAACAATACCAAAACCAAAACGCCAATCAATAATATTCCTAATTTCTATTTATGTAAGTCACCGAAAATTTCTCAGCAGACATTTTCTTGCCAGATTAGAGACTGTCACTGTGAGTGAGAGATCAGAGAAAACTGTCACCGCCTCAGTCAAACCTTAATTCAGTCGAGACACTGGCACAAGACAAGTCGAAGTCTCATTTTAACTTCATTTACCTTCATGTCGGGACATTCTACCGTCCAGCTGATTCGAATATGATCGAAAACAACGGTGTGTAGGCGCGTTGGACTCCTGCACGAATCGTGAAACATTCAAAAGAAAATAGAGAAAGCTTCTTGGAGGCACAGCCTAGAAACACATTTATTTATTCTCCACAGATCAACATCGTCAACTTGCAGCGGCCATGATGACGTCACGGGCAGTCTCGTCAACGAACCGCAGTCATGTTGGATTGATTTATTATTTTGTTAAATTATTTGTTTACAGCTTTATATATCTACTTGAATTGTATTTTGTAAACAAATCTAATAACAAATATCATAATTTGTTATTAATACAATGTGGGATTTGCAACATAATATTACTGGTTTGGAATAGAATCATTGGTCACAGCCTAAATGAAAGCAATTCAATGTGTGAAACTGCAGTTACGTAACGGTCATGTAATTTAAATAATTACATGATACATAATATAAAATAACGAATATATACTCTAAGAACTCTATAAACATTAATTATATCACAATTATAACCATGAGGATTGAACTGGATATTTCTGAAAAATTACAACATCAATAGCGGGTATTTATAAAAATCGGATTCTAACGTTACTTGTCATTTTGTAGCAAACTCCCCGTGTGGGTTCCAGGAAAACGAGAAAAGCCCTAGTGCCTCCCCAACAAGCACATAAGAGTCGACTAAATTGGGACTTCCTTCGAAAGACATGCACAAGTAACAACTAGCGGTCTGAATCGGATGGAAGCATCAAGCCCAGAAATGGCACAAATACTAGAATTTAGTCACGAAAATGACGCAAATAACCCAGACCACAAATACAGGCTAGCTAGCAGCAGTCTGAAAGTCGTCGACCTTTTAATTATTTTTCTTAAAAGGACTAGGACTAGGAATTCCTTCAAAGTCGGAGCGCATCTGCCTTAGAGGCAAGTAATCTGCATACGCATTAGTCAGATCTGTAAAACGGATTTGCATGCAACACTTAGTTTCTAGCACAAGACTACGGTCTAAAGGTGGACCACGGCCATCTTTAGCTAGAGTTGGCGGTGGGTGGACCAACAACCAGAAATTTTCGCTGGAGTTTACAGTCGGCGGACGCGACGAAGAAAGCAGAAGATTTTGTAATAAACATTACACTCAACATATTTTCATTGACGATTTCATTAACCCACGAGCTTGCCATCTAAGTCCCTTGTGCTGTACACAACTGAACGGTGGGACTAAAAGCAGCAGACGGTTGTCTACAGTCTGTAAAAATACTTGTTCAGCATCTGTATTTATGTTTTGCTTGTTGTTCTGCTCATCGGTGGAACTGTATTAACATCATCTTCTTCTTCAACATTCCGAGCCTTTGGGGTTCATTGCTGCAGATATCACTCCATTCAGGTCTTTAGCTGGCCTTATCTTTCCAGTTCGTGACACCAAGTGTTTGCAGGTCTGTCTGGATATTATCTCTCCATTGTCTTCTTGGTCTGCCTCGTGGTCTACGACCATTCATCTCCCTCGTGTACAGTTTTCACTTCTCTGTCATCTGACATTCTTTCAATATGCCCCAACCATATCAGTCTATTAGCTCTCACGATGCCAGTGATCAGTGATGTTTTAATCAGATGATAAATGAACATCATGTCTAGGAAAATACTTTTTAGCCAAGCGTCTGTCTGACCCATGATGGTCGGCACATTTTGATGCTGTGTTATGTCTGTATGGAGGTTACGATAAAATAAACGTACACTAAATTCTCTATCATCTGACAATAATCAGCTAATGAATACAAGGAGAAATGCAGACAGATTTAGTTGGTGGGGGGGGGGGGAATCTTGAAAAAAATCTTACATTTCTTTACAATTACGTGTTAGAAAGAATAAATAAATAAAAACAGTAGATGGGGTGAGCGTTTGCTCTAAAGTTGGACCTGCCATTACCTTGATTACCTGCTGTTGTTTGGGAAATTCTTGGCATGATTTTTTGGTTTGGTTTGGACACTAGGTATCTTAATATGGGTCGTATATCTATTAGATTTAGGTTGCCGCCTCTCTGTCCTTCCGGCCGATGGTGTTTCATTGAGCTACAGAAAGACCCGAGAATCACGGCTGGCAATGGCAAATAGCCAGACTTGATAGTAGTAATTTTTGATAAATATCCTGTTCGGCCCTGAGGGTTATAACTGGGATATATAGTGTTAATTGATTTCTCACAGTACATATTTGTTATTGTTAATTTATATATCTTGTAATTATTTAAATGACTAAAATGTAATTTGTGGATTTGGAGTGTGATTATGATAGAAATTGTACTATGAATAATCAGACAAGCTCACTTACATTGTGTCATTAACATGGTGGATATATTCTTTCCTTAGTGTACAATCGTTGATTATTCTCACTGATTTTATCTTTAGGGGAAACTTCTTCACAGATGTTATGGGCATTCTTTACCTTTCTATATATGTACTTTAGTCCTAGTAATACATTGCTTGACCTTACCACGCAGCTCTTTGGGGTTGTCTATGTGCAGCATGTTTTCCATCGTTATAAGTAATTTACAGGAGATTCATGTAGTCAGTTAATAGTGTGTCCTCTGGCTGTGATATTTCCTACACTCCAGCAAACAGTGCTCTATATTATTGTATTTCTGGCATACGTTACAGGTCTCTTCCAGTAAAGTAAAGCAAGATCGTCCGAGTTGTAGTCTAAGCAGTTTACAATTGTCTGGCATTTTTAGTTCATCTGTTATTTGACATTGTCTTTTAGGAGCAATGAACAGCTTATACGAATATCTCCAATTTAGGCTGTGGTCCCAGTTCAAGTACCATTTCTCTAATATTCATGTTTAAATCAGTGATTTGATGTGTCCTGTGCTCATACTTATATTAAGTGTTTTCTTTAAGTGTTTTCTTTGGATCTACCGTTTTGTTGCCTTCCTATCTGCAGTTTCATTACCATGTATATAGCCAGACTTGCTCGCGTTAAAAAGAATCTTAAATAATGAGGGAATGTTTTTTCAAGACCACTGTTGCCATCACATGTATTGTTGGAAGAAGAAAATCTGGAAGGGAAGTAAACAAGATAAAGTAAAATAAGATTGCAGAAAAACTGACAGCTGAGCGCCTGATGAGAAACACTAAAATACATGCGATGGCACATCGATCCCGAAATCTCATTATCAAATTGTGAAAGGTTAAAGTCGAGAGGATCGGTTTCATTGCAACGGGGTTTATTCTGGTCTCAGTCTCTCTACCACATCACCCATCTTCTGCTGATTGGTCTATAAAAATACAGGTCCAGCCCTATATACCTGAAGGCGTGGAAAAGGGTCCTTTACTTTACTTAAGTCTCTCTACGCAGAACGGCTAACCGCCTGCCGAGAGCGTTAAACAAAACGCGAACTCCGTAGCTCATGCGACGATCCTGTAGTCTCACTAATAACTGCACTCGTGAACTAAAGCCGCGAAACGAACCCACGACCTTCAAAGCGTGATGCAAAGCTGTTTCATTATTTCTCCTCGGAGACCCCTCCCTTTCCCCATTTGAAAGGCTTGTCAACGCGGGCGGGTTTGCTAGACACACTCACCACCGCCATGGGCTGTGACCACTATGCGTCCTGATTAAGGTTAGTTGCGTATCCTTTACAGGACGTTGCTGAACAAATTTTTTAAAGGCAAATTTACACCCAATTTACGCCATTGCTCTCTAGACGGTCGGCTTTCTTGATACCACTGTCGAAACCAACGCAAGGCGCATGGCCCGCAGTTGGGATCGAACCCTGCATCCCGGCATTACGAAGCGTTCGCATCGACTTAGCCACAGAACTCTTCTTATACTTTCCTTATAAATGTCTCTATGGCATCGTTTAAAAAAAAAGCGGGACGGGTATCACCTTGCTTTAAACCAGATATTATTTTAAAAGGGTTCGATTTTCTGGACTTATAAGTTACTAACATGTGTCTTCCAAGCATTGTTCGGTCATGTTGATTAACATCTTCAGTATTCAAAATTCTCCAGTGTATACTAGCAAATGCCTTTTCAAAATCCACAAAACATTATATACTCCTCTTTTATATATACAATTTTTCTCTGCTGTTTGGTTTATAATGAACATCATCTGCCGTGATATTCCCTTATGTGTGCTATACACCAGAGGACTTGCAGGTCCTGGCTATGATTGTGATAACACTGGGAGGTACCGCAGGCGTTAGATACCTGCCACCGTAGACTACCAGATAAAGACACTAATCCATCAGCATCCTTGCCTAAGAAGCATATCACAGATTTTCTGTCCAGGGCAGTCAGGTGTGCGAGGTAACTAGCAGACAGAGTGGCTGCTGCTGCTCCCCAGGGCGGTGAGCTACTATGTGAAAGCAGATGTGGTAAAGGCTCTATGGGATAAAATGGACACAGGACAAGAACTGACAGGGAATCCACACACTGAAAGACTAACAGAGAAACACAAAGGTGGACTTTGAATCAGGTTGCTATTTGCAGCTGTTCAGGTCGTGCAGGATGTCAACATTGTTCTTCTCCTTGGTCCACATTCTAAGAATTTGTCTTTAGTATTTCAGTTGAAAAGCTATAGCTTTCTCCTCCAAAGATAGGTTTAGATTTATACAACGGATCAACATCATGGCACAAAGGTAGTAACCCATCAGTGCTCCCTTCTACTTTTAACACAAGTCAAGAGTCTGAAGAATCTCAGCGCAGTGCACAAACTCCATAGTACCGGCCAGAATCCTGAAATACATTGGGTAGCTTTTAAACCCCAAATTTTGCCTGGGCAGCGCCGTTAGGCTACTCTTTTTGATTTCCAACTACCAAGGGATTTTTTTACATGGGCAACAATGTTTTTACGTGCACAATAATGTTTATATGTGCGCAAAATTACACATGGGCGTCCAATCTTAATATCTACAGACCAGGGCAAACTACTAGAAGTCCACAACCTGCGATGTCAAACAGCATGCTTTAGTTCATGTGCTGACATTTCTCTGTGTCATGACA